ACAGAGAAAACTATAAAACACTGCTACAAGAGACAACAAGGGTACTACATAAATGGAAGAACCTGCCTTATTCATGGATAGGTAGACTAAACATTGTGAAAATGTCAATACTACCTAATGCAATCTATACATTTAACGCAATCCCGATCCAGATTTCAACAAAATTTTTTAAGGACATGGAAAAACCAATTACTAATGTCATATGGAAAGGAAAAATACCTCAAATAAGCAGAGCACTTCTCAGGAAGAAAAACAAAGCGGGAGGTCTCACATTCCCAGATCTTAAGAATTACTATATAGCCACAGTAGTCAAAACAGCATGGCATTGGTACAATGATAGACAGATAGAGCAATGGAACAGAATCAAAAGCTCAGACATAGACCCGTCTATCTATGGACAACTGATCTTTGACAAAGGCCCAAAGCCCATTAAATGGGGGAAGGGATAGCCTCTTCAACAAATCATGCTGGCAAAACTGGATATCCACCTGTAGACAAATGAAACAAGACCCATACCTCACCCCATACACAAAAACAAACTGAAGCTGGATCAAAGACTTAAATGTAAAACCCCAAACTATAAAATGCATCAAAAACAAAATAGGGGCAAATCTAGGAGCCCTAATTTATGGCATAAATAGACCTGTCAAGCATAATCCAGAATGTGCAGGAGATAAAAGAGATGCTTGATGACTGGGACCTTTTAAAAATTAAATTATTGTGTGCATTGAAAGATTTCGTCAAAAGGGTAAAAAGAACCTACAGATTGGGAGAAAATATTTGCCTATGACATATCTGGCAAAGGACTTATCTGCAAAATCTACAGAAAACTTCAACACCTCAACACCAAAAAGACAAATAATCCAATTCACAAATGGGCAAAAGACTTGAAGAGATACTTCACCAAAGAAGATATACAAGCAGCCAACAAATATATGAGAAATTGCTCACAATCATTCATTAGAGAAATGCAAATCAAAACAACCATGAGCTACCATCTCACCCCAGCAATAATAGCAAAGTTCAACAGATCAGATAGTAACAAATGCTGGTGGGGTTGTGGAGAGATTGGAACTCTTGTCCTTTGCTGGTGTGATTGTAAAATGGTGCAACCATTGTGGCAAACGGTATGGTGTTTCCTTAAAAAACTGAAAATAGAAGTACCATTTGACCCAGCAATTCCATTACTAGGAATATATCCTAAAGAAGTGAGAGATAGCACGTGAACAAACATATGTACACCTATGTTCATTGCAGCACAATTCACCATAGCAAAGATATGGAAACAACCCAAATGCCCATCAACGGATGAGTGGATAACAAAATTATGGTATATCCACACAATGGATTACTATGCCACATTAAAGAACAATGAGGGGTACGTGAATCATCTCGCAACGTGGATGAACCTGGAGGACATTATGCTGAGTGAAATAAGTCAATCGCAGAAGGACAAGTCTGTATGAGCCCATTACTCTAAAAAGACAGAGAACGGTTTGCATGGGAAAGGGAACTCACCTAATAGGTTACCGGGATGGGGAGGGTAAGGAGAAGGTTGGGCATTCCTACTTCCATAGTGATGTTGTTGTTGTTGTTGTTATGTGCCGTCGAGTCAGACCTGACTCATACAGCCTCGGAAACCCAAGGAGGGGTCGCTATGAGCCGGGGCCGACTCGATGTCAAGTAACAACAACAACAACAAGTTGGGGTTACACACTGACATGGGTAGGGGGAGGGATATACGGGAATGATATATGACCACCACAATAACATCGGGAAATGTGAGGACACCAAACTGTGCACATAAGAGATAGACGACAGATGCTAAAACCAACCAATGTGTCCACAATACCACATTGCCATTAACACCTAACACTAGCTATACAGATAAACACATAAACACCTAAGATGATCAGACAGGCATCAGTGAATAGAGGTATACGCTAGACCAAGGATAGACTCAGCTGAGGCTAATCTTGTACAGACACCAGTGATACAAAATACCTGCAATCCTTATAGAAACAATGAAGACAGACACAGAGTAATCCCTCAGAGACATCTTAACACTATGGGAGAGAGATCCAGTAGAGCTACTACCTCAGGACCATAGTACTGGGGTACAGCAGACTGAATTGGCACAACAAAATACATAAAAGCGTTGCTCCACATCCTCTGTTGATGAGTAGCGACTGGGGTCTTAAAAGCTTTCAAGCAGCCATCTAGGATGCAGCTAATGATCTCCCAGCGTCAGAAGTGAAGAAGAACGCACCCCCCCCCCAAAAAAAAGGGCATTTAGATGCAATTAACCCTAGAACATGATGGCCCTTGAGACCAGAAGAACCAGATGGTGCCTGGCTACCATTGCCAACCACGCAGGAAAGAATCAAATCTGGAGATCTTTGATAAAGTGAGAGGGAAACATGGAACAAAACTCAAAAACTCAATAATGACCAGAATTACTGGTCAGGTGAATTCTGGTGAGACTCTCAATACTGTGGTCCTGAAATACATTCGGCCCCTGGAATAAAACTCACCCCTAGGGGTGGGCTCTCAACCCAATGGTTAGTGAGATGTACACATAGACCACTCAACCCAGGATGCTGCACCCACACACTCAATGGTAATATATCCCCTAAAGCAATAAACCATGGGACACCAAAGGACCAACATTCAAACTGAGGAAATGCAGTACAGACAGGAGTGTATAATTATGAGGGGCACAGGGTGAGTTTTCCAGGGTAGGGAGGGGAGGAGACTGGGTTAGGGTTGGACATGGCGAATGGGGAATGAAACTAAATGTATGCGTGGCTTTGCATGTAAAACAACGTCTTAAAATAAAATAAAGCTTTATAGGAATTAAGATTGAGTAAGTTGATATACTGGTAAAGGTAGGCTGGTCAATACAGAAAAAACACTGAGGGAGAAAAAAACGAAAAGCTATTAACTAATAATTCCTTTAAACCAATTACTTTATATATTGTATAGAAGGGTGTTTTATATATATGTATACACACAGACACACATATATGTACACACACACACATATAATATGATATAACCCATATACAGAAATTGGGCCAACTATAAATTTAGGTGAAATTTCAGAAGCTTGATTTGGAACTTGCTATGTCACTCAAAGTGACCCCATATGACAGTAGAACTTCCCCATAGGATTTTCAAGGCTGTAATCTTTAAGGGATCATATTGTCAGGTCTTTCTCCCTCAGAGATGGTTTTGAATTTCAATTAGTAACCATTGAGCCACCAGGACTCCTTAATTTGGAACTTATAACTAGTGAATTTAATGATGAAATACTTTTATTAAATTCAAAACCAGTTAATAAAAGTTTCTGCTTTTGAAAGAGTAGAAGTTTAAATTTTAGTTTTATTAGTTTAGGATTAATAAATGTGTAATTTGGCAATTATTAATGTGTACTTATGAAACGTATGTCTTATAAATTGTATATATATGCTCATATCTGAATGTGAAATCAAGTATTACAAATGCCTCCTAGGTAATATTCAGAAAGACTTCCAGCATTTTCTTAGGATTAGCTAAGAATTTCTCACACTTTGCCTGTAGCACATATGTAATAGCTGTGTGGTAATTTAGCTAGAGATTAGTAAATTCCTTGCTTTATATTACATACATATTAATTTATAATTTAATATGTATACTCATGTAAGCATAAATTCTCTTTTCTTTAATTTTAGGCTCTTATAATCAATGGAGCAAATTTGTCTGTTCAGGATGATCGTGGATGCAATCCTTTACATCTTGCTGCGAGTCATGGGCATTCTTTCACTTTACAAATAATGCTCCGAAGTGGAGTGGTGAGGAGTTCTTGTTAATATGTGAGAATATGTAATTATATAGATAGTGCAGCATTTGGTAGTCTGGTCATCTCTTCCTGATTTTTTAAATAATTCATATGACTTTTGAGAAGTAATTTAATCTTTTGCTTTAGATTTTTCATCTTTAAGTATGGGAGAAGTAATTCAGATGAATTTAAAAATAGATTAATTTCCCAAGAAGTTTAGTAGCACAAAATATTTCAGGGACTTTGGGTTCTTCACTCAGTTTAAAGTTTTAGCGGGAAGATTCTGAAACTTCCAAACAAATTTAACGAAGTGATTGCAAATCTTTATAACTTTCTGTTTCTACTTAGGTATATTAATCTTAGGCACTAACATAGAAAGTGATTTATATCTCTATAAATTTCATTTATTTATCACAGTAGTTGTTTTTAATCTTACGTAGTTGTAAAAAAAATGCCTATTTTAAGAAGTGAGCTACCAATTTTGAAGACATTATACTAAGAATTGATGCTTCTGTAGTTAGAAAAACAGTATTTTTTCATTAACTCTTTGTTTATCCCCTCAAGGATATGATTTGATCACTTAATCTATCTCATTTAATGGGTCAGGAAACTTCAACCAGCAAAATGACTTGTTAACTTTCTTTTTACAAAGCTATTTTATGTGATGAGCTACATTCTTTTAAAAAAGGCTATTTTATAAAAGTTCACTGGTATTTTATTAGCACCTATTTTCAAACTAATGTTTGCAGTTTAAATTTTTGTTAAGTCCATTTTAAAAATTATATTTGGTGTTTGCCTTTAAGTTTTAAGAACAGCCTCCAATTTTCATTTGTACGATTAAGCTGCTAGCCTTAGTTTTATTTCCCTTACAAAATGGAAAGAAACTGAGTCTTTGTGAATGTTACCTCTAGGATCCCAGTGTGACTGATAAGAGAGAATGGAGACCTGTGCATTATGCAGCTTTTCATGGGAGGCTTGGCTGTTTGCAACTTCTTATTAAATGGGGATGTAGCATAGAAGAGGTGGACTACAATGGAAACCTTCCAGGTATAGAACAATAGCAAATATTTCGGGTTTTCATTAATGTAAATTTCTAAATGTTTGCATGTTCAAGGAATTTAAACTAGTGTTGTACTATTTTAGCCCCTCATAAAACTAAAGTAGTAAATATGTTAACACATGCTTTTTTAAAAATCATAAATCTTGCCATGTTATAAACCCATCTCAAACTTTGCTGTTTGTCTTTTAACATATGATTAATGTCTTTTTATTTTTTCTTGGAAATATATCATCAAAATAGGAATGGCAACATTAAACTGTCTACTGTTATTTTGTAATTTCATATCTGCCTGCCCTACATATTGCTTTTTTGGGCAGGGGGGACAGAACAACCCAGTATAAATAGAGGAGCAGAATGTATTTGAGTTAAGTTGCTAACTGCAGTGCAATAAACTGGTTGAGACCTATGCTCTAAACACCCTTTCTTTTTCTAAGAAGCACCAATACAAGGCAGCATATGTTGAGGCTCAGGGGAGTGATGCAGAACATAAGTGTTGTATAAATTCAGATCACAGTGAGGTTAGAGTGATGGTTATTGAAAATACTTAAATTATACCTTAAAGGAATCTTAAGAATCAAATGAAATGAAGGAGAATGCCAGGCAGAATTGTATGAGCAGGTCTGCCTTTGTTACTTAAAAACTCCATAGATCCCTCTAAAGTTCTGATTCTTTTGCTTGGCATGGTGGACCCTTTGTAATTTGGTTTTTACTTATCTTCCTGGCCTCATCTTTCATCACTTCACACTTCCTTCTGTGATCCTTTTGCTGCTTTCTGAAGCACATCCCTTGGTGATACTTCAGTGAGGGTCTATTGGTATAAACTCTATCAAGTTTTGCTCATCTGAGAAATACTCTATTTTGCCTTAGTTCATTTTTAAAAGAATTTTTTAAGTAAAATTTTAAATTGAAATACAACATGTATACAGAAAAGTGCCCAATTTAAATGCACATGAATTTTCATAAAGGAACATTTTTTTGTAACCATTCCCCAGATCAAGAAATGGAGTCAGGGCAATCTACTTCTGTAGAGATACTACCTCAGAAATCCAAGGAGGGGTCACTATGAGTCAGAAGTGACTCGATGGCAGTGAGTTTGGTTTGATTTGGTATAGTATTCAGGTAGACCGATATACCAGGAATGGAAGAAGACCCATTTACAACCTGCAACATGCAGATGACATAACCTTGTTTGCTGAAAGTGAAGAAGATTTGGAGCTCTTACTAACGAAGATCAGAGACTACAGCCTTCAGTATGGATTACACCTCAACATAAAGAAAACAAAAATATTCATAAATGAACTAATAAGCAGCATCATGATAAACAGAGGAAAGATTGAAGCCAAAGATGTCATTTTACTGGGATCCATAGTCAATGCCCATGGAAGCAGCAGTCGGGAAATCAAATGACATATTGCATTGGGCAAATCTGCTGCAAAAGACTTCTTTAATATGTTAAAAAGCAAAGATGTCACATTGACGGCTGAGGTGTGCCTGACCCAAACCATGGTATTTTCTGTTGGCTCATGTGCATGCACAAGCTGGACAATGAATAAGGTAGACTAAAGAAGAGTTGATACATTTGGATTATGGTGTTGGTGAAGAATATCATATATACCACGGACTGTCAGAAGAACAAATAAAACTATATTGGAAAAAGTACAGACAGAATGTTCCTTAGATGTGAGATGGTGAGACTTCATCCCATGTACTTTGGACGTGTTATCAGGAGGGACTAGTCCCTGGAGAAGGTCATTGTGCTTGGTATAGCAGAGGGTCAGTGAAAGAGAGGAAGATCCTCAACTAGGTGAATTGACACAGTGGCCTCAACAATGGGGCAGCAACGGTTGTGAAGATGGGGTAGGGCTGAGCAGTGTTTTGGTCTGTTGTATATAAGGTCACTATATACAGTAGCATAAAATATTTTTTTTATGATTCTTAGTTTTGTTCCACATTTTCTCCCACTCTGTTTGGGACCTCTTATTGATCCCTTTCAGAGCAGTCAGCAGTGGTAACCAGACACCATCTAGTTCTTCTGATCTCAGGGTCATGGTGGCTGGGGTTCACACACTGTATTAGTCCTTTGGACTAATTGTTTTCTGCATCTTTGATTTTCTTCACTCTTCTTTGCTCTGGATGGGGAGAGATCAATAGTTGCTCCTTAGATGGCTGCTCACAAGCTTTTAAAACTCAGTGGATTTATTTTTGGATTCTCTACTTTGTTCTTTGACTCTTATTTCTCTTTGTGCCATACAATACTGTCTTAATTACTGTAGCTTTATAAGTCTTGGATTTTAGGAAAGGAAGCTCTCCCACTTTGCTATTCTTCAAGGTTGATTTCTTCTTCTTGGTCCTTTGCAATTTTCATGTAGAAGTGCCTTAAAAATTTTTACCAAAAAACTACTGGGAGTTTAGTTGGGATTTAATTAAATCTATAGATTGATTTGAAGATTAGTGATACTATTATATTGAGCCTTCTAATTTATAATCATAGCATATTGCTCTACTTATTTAGATCTTGTTTAATTCCTTTCAGTAATGCTTTGTAAGGAGCTCTGGTTGGCAAATAACAACACCACCACCAATGCTTTGTAGCTCTCTGTTAGAGGTGTTAACATCCTTTTTTTTTTGGGAGGGGGGAGGGTGTTTCAGTTGTTACTTAATTTTGTGGGATTTGTACATAGTATTTAAGAATATTTTCAAAATCTTACATATAAGCAGAATTGAGTGTGGTGTCTAGCAGTCTTATTAAATTCAGTTCAAATAATTTAGCTGTAGGGTCTTTTAGATTTTCTTGGGGAAAAAATGTGAAAATATTGCTAGTTTTGTTTTTTCTTTTCTAATATATATATAATAAATGTGTACATTATGGGTTTTTTGGGTCTGTTTGTCATTTACCCTTTTAGGGTATAGCACAGTTTTCAGCCTAAGCCTGGGAGGTTTACTAGGGCTGCCTTTTCTTCTTCTTTTTTTTATTGTGATTTGGGTGAAGATTTACAGAGCAAATTCACTTTCGTTACAGCAGGTCACATACACTTTGTCTCATGTCATTGACCACAGTTTACCACAATGCATCAGCTCCCCTCTCACTGCCTCCCCATAGTTACCTCTTCCCAGTGTCCATCCCTCCATACACTCATGTCCCCTGAGCTGTCATAAGCAGCCCTTCTTTCTCCCATGATTGTTCTCTCCAAGGCATGTATCTACTTGAGGTAAGTGTTTAACTCACGTGCCTGTAGTTTGTTTGGCTGGAAACCACAGGTGTGGGTTCAATTCCAGACCTGAAGGGCAGCTAGGGGCCATAGTCTCGGTGGTTCCACCAGGCTCTACCAGACCAGCAAACCTGGTCCCCACCTTTTTATTTTTTTCTCCAAATGATTTTGAGTTTTGTACCACATTGTTCTCCTTCTCTATCAAGGATCTCCTACATAGATCCCCTTCCAAGCGGATGACAGTGGTAGCCGGGTACCATCTAGTTCTTCTGGTCTCATAGTTGTATAGGCTACAAATCAGATGGTGTACCAGTC